GGAGGTGAAGCGCCTGCTGGCCCGCGGAGCCCGCCTTAACACGGCCAACGTAGACGGGCTGACAGCGCTACATCAGGTACCCCAGGGCGGAGCACCTGCACCCAACACCTCGACGCCCCAAATCTGCCGGGGATGGAGAGGGCGAGAGCGCGGCTGTATGCAAGTGGTCGCTTTTCTCCCCTCTTCGTCATCCCTGGACCCTCCGGGGATTTATCCGTCCAGAGCAAGGGATGAGAGATCGTTGCCCAGTCCTTTGCTTGTGCTTGGGATGCCCTTCGGACGGGTTGCAAGCAAGTCCTGTGCTGCTGGGGCTTAGGGTAGCTGTTGCCCAGTACATGTGGAGAGTCTGGGCTGAGATGGCTGGCGTAGGGTAATGGGCTGTAGATAAGGCTTGAGATTGTGGAGGATGGTTTCTCAGATAAGTGGAGGGGATTAATTCAGCGAATGAACCTGTTGTTTTTCCTTCAATTTGTCTTTTTACCCTGCTCCCCCCCTTTCCCAGGGCTCCTTTCTGTAAGTCCTGAAATGGTTCATTCACCATTAGACTTAATACTGTTGTATTGCTTCCTTCCTTGGGAAGATTGGTGGGACTCTCCATAGTCACCAGATTGTTCTCCTGCCCATCCAGTATTTCTTTTCTTTCCTAGATGACATGAAAAGTCATCTAGGTGAAATGGACAGCCCAGTTTAGGCTTATGCCTGTGAACAGTTCAACTAAGAGTAAACAAGATATATACACTTAGTTGCATAGTAATGGCAATGCAGCAGATATTAAACATCAGTTCTTCTGTTATTTGCTTCTTGGCTATGTTTTACTTGAACTTAATCTAAAAAAACCCTTTGCCATATAAACAAAAGTACTCTTCCTGTGGCTATGTTGTATGAATTAACCCCTATAATATAACCCCAACAGTCTTTTGTTTGTCAGTTATTTCTGTTACTAGGATTATTGTGGTTTTCTTATCCAGAAAACTTTTGCTACCCAAATAATTATTCTCACTGAAATACAGACTGCAATTTACCAATACACATTTTATACTCTAATCTTGAATCTGTAGGGGGAAGATACATTTGACTAGTCTAAAGTTATTGTGTCTTTGCTTTCATCATCAAAAGGATGAAAAATATAGGGAAGAGGGTTTTTTTCTTTTTTCTTTTGTTTGTTTTGAAATGAGCAAGGTCAGGTTAGTTTAGTAACATGCTTTAAATGGAGAAGTGTACAAGAATTTTTGATATCAAATTACCCTGATTTGTGTTTACTTCCAGTAGGAAATATTACTTCTGATGAAATATACCTCAGTAAAAAATACCTGTCACAATATACGGTATATAGAGTATTTTCTCTGTTTGTTGATTCTTCCTTAATATAACTCTTAGGGTTCTAAAACAAAACATTAATTTGAAGTTAATATTGCAGAATATGAAAAATCCATAAGGAATAGTTGTCAGTGACCTCAAATAATTAACATGCTGCTAAAATAATAAAATATTTTAAAATTACAGGCTGTTTGGGATTCATTTTTTGTTTTAATGTATCCTGTACTTGACTTGCTGTGATACTTGTGACTTTCAAAATCTTTTCCCTTGGCAACCTTTAAAAAGACCACAAGGTGCCAAGGCCTAAGATAAGCAACACTGAATTCTATTAATAGAATTCCTAACGTGCAATGAGCACCAGAAACATCCTCAAAAGTCTGCTCCCTAAATGAGGCTACCATCAAAATTTAATTCTTTTATTTAGACTTGTGTTACTTTTTCTAATGCAATAGTGAAAATATTTAACACTGAGAAATACCTAATAAGCTTGCATGTTTTGTCCATTATTTACTTAACTATTATTATGTGATGGACACAAATTGCCTAAGTAAGATTTCAGTAATATGAACACCTATATAGTATGCAAAATATTTCATTGGTATACATTTTTAGATAATTTTAGATATAGGGAGGGGCAAGGAATTATGTCCCAGCCAATGGAAATCTTACCATACTTTTAGTTTTTTTTAATGACATACACCTTTCAAATATTCATAGACACAAAGGCTTTTAAGAAGACAGAATTGGGTTTGGTCATAATTGTAGACTTCAAGCAATTTTTAATATATCTAATAAGCCTTCATGTGATGGTGCAGCTTTCTTCATACATTCTCAGATTTTTTTGAGGGTTTTGTTGTTGAGGGCTTTGTATGAGTCTTCATTCTGATAATATTTTGATAATCCCTCAATATGCTAGCTATGACCTTGACAAGAATTAAACAGTAGAAAATAACCATAGTCTTGCATACTCCTGAGGAAAATGACTTGTTTTACTGCTTGATATTCCAGCTTTGAAAAATGATATGGTATGTAAACAGTATCCATGCTACTCCATATAGAAAACTAGCATCTTGCCAGTAAAACAATTTATTTCAGAGAGTTCTTGATATGACTCCTATCTGAACATTTGGCAGATATAATAAGTATTGTGTGAAATCAGGGACAGTGACTGATGACATAGTGGCATTCATCCTCCAGCTTGGCTTTCTTCAGCATGATTCCACTGAGTTAGGCGTAAAGCCTGTGCAATCTTGAGCTCACCGGAAATCGTTCCATTCTATTTAAGTGAGAGATCCCTGAATTATTTGTTGCTTTCTACTAAAATTAGTAATAACAAATGTGTTTTTAGGAGTGACAACGAGTGACTTTATTGTTGAACCATCTCCGAGAGTCAAAAATAAAAGTTTGCATCATTATCTAAACTCATCCTCATCTTTGTTCTATTCATTCTGGCACTAAAGGCCTTGGTGACAGACCAAGTACAAAATCTTAAGATTTACTGTTAGTTGCTCTGCCTTTAATATACTTGACAGGTCCTTGCTTCAGCTGGTGTGCTATTGAAGCTAGGTTTAGAGATCACTATCATTTGGGGGCAGGTATGAGTGATGGACATTAATACATGTTGTGTGATGACTGGTTTCCTTTTCTATCTGCTTTGATCACAAATGATTGTTAAGTGTACCTACTTTTTATATTACAATCAAATAATAATAATAATAATAAACTTTATTACGGTCATAGACCAGCAATAGCCATCACTTTTTACAATATATTAAATAATAATAATAATAGTAAAAATAGTACTAACATTAATAGTAAATAATAACATCCCTGTTAAGAAAATACATGTTCTCAAAATGTTAGGGTCACTCCCTAGTTTACGTGAGTGGATAGCCGANTTTTAGTTTTCTGAACATTCTTAATTCTGCTTCTGGAGAATTCTAGGTTTTTGTTTTACTTGGTTTATTGTCAATTTAAGTCTTGTTTGCTGCCCTGTGAATTTGTTAAAGGGTGAGAATATCTAAAATAACAAAATTTATGAAAAAGTAACGTTTGCAGAAATACAATTTTTGATGAAATTAGAATAACTTTATTTTAATTAGAAAATGTTAACAATGGGATACAGTTTCATATAGTCTTATAAAATTCCATAGCTTTCCAATATAATTTGCTGGTGTAAGGGATATTCGTTGCAATTATTTGTTTCGGCTCTCTTTGTTTTGAGTGGAACTAAGTCCTTCTGTGAACATTTGCAAAAGGAATTATGGATCAATTATAGATTTCCTGCTGGAGAAATAGCAGAATAGCCCCCAACCCCCTTTTTTACATTTATTCTCCAATTCCAGTTTGCACACGTCAGGCCATAGGAACAGAGTTTTGCAGGAATTGTGTGTAGGAAGAAGGAGGAATTGAAGAAAACTTTAACCTTTCCGCCTTCCTGCCACAGATCTAACCCATTGGTTTTTGTGGTATTAAATCTGCATCTTTTCTTAGGAAATAAATCTATTATTAAATTTCAAATTGGTCATGATAATGTGCATATGTGTATGTGTGTGTATGTATAGATATGTGTAAATATATAATCATGATAGTCCTGAATAATTTTTATTATGATATATTTTATATTGTTCTGTTTTACAGGGTACTTGTAAGAACTATATGTAAAATTTTTTGATGTTAAATATACATCATGTTAAATATACATCAGACTTTCTTAGATGTACCGGTTATTTTGATTTCTAGTATTTCACTTAAAAGATTTTCTGTCATATAATGAGAAATCTTCAGAGAATAACCAGTAGGGGGGAAATGTCCTTGTAAGGACTGCTATATTATTTGTATTATTTCAGTTGAAGAAGCAATGATAATAATTGTCATAATTTAAGACAAATTACAGTATAGTTTTCATAATTCTCACATTATGAAATTGTTACTTTTAATTTCACTAAGTTATTAAGGCCATATCCATATTTAAAAAATCGGTTAAATTTATTTTGGGGACACTGAATTTTCAGCAGTTACAAATCAACTGGAAAAATAAGAATGTATTCTAGTTTCAACAGAGATTGAATGACTAATTGTGTTTCATTGTTTTCATATAGTAATGAAAACTAGGATAGATTTTTCTCATCTAGAACATGGCATATGACACTATTGTTTTCAGTGATGTGTTTATACGTATTTCTAATGAAAAAA